ATCTCTTCAGTTTCTTTTGCAAAATGTTTGTCCACAGTTTCCTGTAATTACCTTTTAACAACAAAAACAATTGAAATAGTCCTTTGGGACTATTGATTTTCCTGGATTTCAGCGTAGTGTGGAAAATTTGGTTTCCGTATTTCAAGTAGAGCAGAAATATAAGGATAGCTATGCTGCATTATATTTTCTCATTTGCTAATATCATAGTTTCCTTGGTGGGTATGATTTCTATATATCTTCTATTTCAGTACAAGTGCTCTAAAAGACCATCATACTGAGACTTTACTGAGTAAACTACTTGCCCTCTTACCAGTGAAGGAAACTTAAGTATATTCAGGATCACTGGTTTTTTTTGCCCATTTGAGACTGTTCTTGAGAATGTACCAGTAGAATATATTTTCATATTCACTGAGCACACCCACTAATTAATTATTTCTGAGCATACTTAAAAATAGACAGTGGGTATGATCATTCTTCTTGTGGCCCTTACCCATAAGTAACGCAGAGTTTCCTAGACAAGACAAACATGCATTTTCAGTGATACCTGACAAAGTCTTATGGGAGAAGCAGTATCAAAGGGCTGAGGATGTTTCTAGCCATGAATGGCTTTTCTATAGGTGTTGCAAGTTCCCAGAAAGTACCACACATAGATGACTGTCCTTGTAACAGTATGTAACAGATAAAAGATTAGTATCAGAGGAGTGCCCCATACAAACCAAGACTTTAATTGTGCATCAGCCGGCTTCTTTGGGTTATTGTTCTAGAAAGTTCAAGGTTTTTATGAGAGTAATTGAGCTGCACATTGTCTCTTGTTTTGCTGTTCAAAGAGCTCAGGATTTGATGCTCTATTGCCATAGTGATAAGTAGGAAGGCCCACATACTCTGACAACAGCAGCATGGCATTGCACGAGAGAACTATAAAAACATTTTCTGATTGATCTGGATTCCTCAGTTATTTGACTAATATATCATGTTATGTGAAAAATAGAGAATGTCAGGATTGTCCAACTGTTCAATAATACAGTGTAATTAATCACTACATAGGGACAGATATGTGCTTTTACAATCTTGTCACGTTCTGTCATTTCCAGCAAAAGGTGTAACCATAAATAATGAGCTTGGCTTGTAATCATGTGTGGAGATGTTATTGCTTTGTGTGTAATATTTGTATATGTTCTATATCTAAGAGGCCATACAGATGACTAGGATTTTGAGCTGGGGAAATTGGTATTAGTTTAAACACCTGTGTTTGTGGAAGAACTGTCTGGTCTGTCATTGTCATTTGAAGTTAGCTGCAGTTACAACCAAAGATGATAACATGAGGGAGGATGGTCATGTGTGTATATGTGTTGACAAGAGACACTCTTGTCTTCATTTCCGTTGTTGAGCTCTGACTTATAATTCCTGAGTTTCTTTTATATATTTTTTTGCAAATTTGTGTAGAAGGATGTTCAACATTAGTATTTTTACTAATGAAGGAGATTCTCTCTTAAGGAATTCTTGTTTTCTTAGAAGGGTGTTAACTAGGCCTTCTCCCTCTGAGGCTCCCACACTAGTTTGAACGTCCCACACTAATTCCCCTGGGCTCCACCTGAGAATATATACTTGGGACTCTCTCAGTGAGAGGCACCGTTTTTCCCATCTGAGGTCTACTGACAGCTTTTCTCATGTTTTTCTGAGCAGCATTGATTCTGCAGTTGTACTGGGAGCAGTCTTGCCCCTGAGTCTTGACTTTTCTCACTCCTGCTCTACTAATGTCTCTGGCTTGCTTACCAGAATCTCTTCTATCCCATTTTATCCTCATCTGTGAAATTAGGTGACGTGATGTTTCAAGTGATCAGTGAGGTGAACTGTGAAGTGCTCCTTTTGTCCTGCACAGTGGATACTATAGAGTGACAGGTACCGGGGAAGCATTTACTTTCCCTGATTCCGCCCCTGCGTGGATCTTTCTGGTGTCTCAGTGACTTGAGATGAGTATGCTCGCAGCTCTTTGGCATCTAGCTCCCCTGAAAGGGTATAATCACATTTGATATCAGCCAAGTCCCCAGTCATAGACCATGATGTCACAAACCAAAGATCATTTTCTCCCAGCAGGAACAAGCTGAAGAGGAGGAGAATGTCCATGACAAGTTACATCTTTATTAAAACTCAGTCACTTCTTAAAGAAAATGAACCATACGGCACTTCCTGCAGAAGTCCTACTGAAATACCCGTTGTGTTAAGCAGAACACTGCATTCACTGCTATACTACAGTGAAAAGTTGTTTTAAAAATTAAAAACTTAAAGTTATAGAAATGTACCTAAGCAGATACACACTTAAACACTTAAAATAGGGCTTCTTGATAAGATAAATGCTAATATATTAACTTGAATTTTATATATATTCCCAATTTTGAAATGGTAAAATGACTTCCTTTTAAAGACTGGTATATAATATCAGGGACACTTGGTGGAAGAGCTTCATTTTGACCTTTGTACCTATTTTTCTTATAGTTTAAACAGGAAGCTTATAGGGTGTTGTAAACGGGAATTTGGATGGTATAAATGGCAGGATCTAAGATAAAGGATAACAGATGTCACTATTAAGGATATGATAGCCAAAACATTTACCTCATAGCTTATTGAATCACAGAAACAATAGTAGTCATTGACTAGTCCCCAAGATTCAAAATCTCATAAATTGTTAAATCTACTGATAGTAAGGAAAATTCCCATGAATAATCTCGGTCTTAAGGTACTCACTCTAAAACCCGTTACATGGGGCTGCCATGATGGCTCAGTGAACAGAGACATTTGCCATGTAAACCTGGCATCTTGTGTTCAATCCCACATACAGGTAGGAGGAGACAACTCCACAGAGTTTCCTCTGACTCTCCATGTACGTGTGGCCCGCCTACCCACCCACACACCACTCTCTCTGTCTGTCTCTGTCTCTCTTTGTCTCTGTTCTCTGTCTCACACCACACCTCCAATTGGAAAAACTAAACCTGCTGGGCGTGGTGGCACATGCCCACAGGCAGGCAGATCTTGAGTGAGGCTAGTCTGTTCTAAAGAGTGAGCCCCAGACAGCCAGGGCTATACAGAGAAACCCGGTCTCAAAAAAAAAAAAAAGATAAAATAAAATAATAAAAAACTAAACTCTACCCATTTGTGCCTGTACTATGCTAAAGCTAATGGTGCTATTATCTTTTTAGTACATTGGTAACTGTCGATTGTTCTGAATTCCTACATCTTTTTTGGAAGCTGTTGCTGAGGACGACATAGCTTTCTGAATGGGTTATTATAGATAGGAGAGAAAGTGAAGGCTCACTGGGACTGATGCTGTCAGAGACTAACTTAAGAGTTGGTATTTGGTGTCTGTCTGTCCATCCATTGTCACTGCAGGATAAGCTATGGAAGGAAGCAAAGTCCCTGAGAAGTGGTACGTGAATCTTCCTCATAACAGTGAGTGTATAAAATACAGGGACATTATCTTCCATCCCCTTCCATCCTGCACAGTGTTGTAAATTTTTTCCTCTAGGTAATTAAAATTTTAAATTACAATTTGAAATATTATTTGGCATTTTTCACTTAAAATGCATTTTCTTGAAGCATGTCAGTCTATAAAATAAGGTGGAAATGGATGAAAAGAACCTTTAAGGATTCAATGAGTCTCGGCTGTTAGGGGGAAAAGCAAGAAGCCAGCACTTTAGTTAGGCTGTTACGTAAATGACAGTCAAGTTGCTGTCTGTATTGGAACCACGGCTTGCCTTTGTTACTGGAAAATGACAAGTGAGAGTCTATAATGACTTCAAATGCAAAAGATATGTGACATTTAAGGTATTGTATGCAATGTCTTGAAAAGAGTCAGAGGAGTCGGGTGTCCCACTATCTTAATTAAGAACTGAAAACCGAGAGTTGAATGAAATGGAAGAGTTTTCCTCCTTGCTATTACTTTGTGCTGGGGATGGAACTCAGGCCCTGGATAGGCCAGGCCAGTGGCCCTGTCTGCTCAGGAGCTCCCGGTGCTCATGTTTGTTTTCAGAGTAACAACTTTGATGGTTTTTCTTGGATTAGGGAATTTCTTTAGTTAGGTGTGGTATGCATTTGTTGTTTTTCTTATCCCCACCCTGCCAAGCTAATAGAAATAGGAGTGTTGGACGGCATTTTGTGAGATTTTTGAACCTGACTTTTCAGTTGAACTTAGCACAGTTACTTCATAGCCGTGATGTTTGAGGGAAGGAATTAAGATGGCATCAGGTGAAGGAAGCTGTGGATTGATCCCTTTCTGTGCTCTCTACACCCAGAGTCTCTGTAGAAGCCTCATGCTGCATGGGCAGTCTCTCCAAGACCCTGTACCCTTAACATTCTCCACGGCTTTGCTAGTCCTTTGCATTTTTTAGTTTGGGCCACTAGCCTGGATGGAAAATTCGGAAGATTTAATGTGCCAGACTTCTTTTTGTTCTGTTCTTAAATGTCATTTGCTCTGCTCTAAAATATCCTGCTATCTTTGGGATAAATTCACCCCACCAGAGATTGTCTACATCAGTGTGAATGAGAGTGACACCACAGTTTAGGGTTTTTGGTGTGCTAAGAATTAAAGTCAGCCTGTGAGCCTTTGAAAAACCTCGACAGCAATGTTGCTAACCATGCCTGTGAATCCCTCCTTTCCCCAGGCAAGCTTGGTGACACCTTCTGCGGGTGCCTCCTAGGCAGCATTCTGGACTCCTCTCAGGCTTTCAAGCTACTAAATAAAATTATAATTCTAAAAACATGAAGAAAATGATGGGACCATTCAGTGAAAAATGAATGGGATCTGCAAGCCATTTGATTGTCGAGTTGTGAGTGACTAGCATGCAGCCTAAGTAGAAACAGGTGTTTACCTCAGAAGGTTCCAATCAGCATAAAGCCTAAGATATGGAGAACCACATGCAATTCAGACCTCCTGGCTCGCCCACTGCAGTAGTAGGGTTCATTCCAGCAGCCAAGCTATGAATTAATGTTATTAAATCGAATCTTACCTGGTAGCAGTTGGCTGAAGCTCAGTAAGGAGTGGTAAGCTCTCATACTCCAAATGCCTCCTCGACTGTGCTGTGGTGATCTCTTTCACCCATGTGTCTTATTTCTTGCAGCATCTCCGAGGCCCACTAATCCTGTGCTGTTAGTTAGGACAGCTCACAGCAAGGCAGACTCCATTTGGATAGGATTATGGAAATCAAAGGGTGAATTTTGCCTTTATCAAATAACAGCAGTTGATCTGACCACAATGCTCAGAACTTATTAAAAATTCTTGGCTTTCTCAGCCGTGAGAAACCCTGCTTACTCCTGCAGATAGTTCATACACTGGAAAAGTTGTGCTCACCTGTAATTCAGAATTGCAAACGTCCCCAAGTCACGCTGCTTTAACGCTGGTGTGTTTTCCAGAAGCGTGGATGTTCCGTAGCCCCTTCTGCTTCCCTTGGCTTTCTCCCGGACAACTTTCCGTCCTCAGCCTCCTGTCTGCAGAGGTGAAGAATTTCCTCTCTCCCCGGTGCTTCTGTTAACACGTTGCTCTAGTGGTTTCTGAGTGGTGAGGGGAAAATCCGAAAGGAAGAGCAGCTTTATCGTATTCCAGACACCGAACATGAATGAAGCGCTGATGGGATCGCTCAAACCAGACAGCCAAGTGGTGTGATGCTGCTTTCATACATAATGAACCTGCTAATTACTCCTCCCGATGGCCAGCGGAGCGCCCCGGCAGGACGAGAGAAGGAGCAGAGGGGCGTGTGCTGTTCACTGGGTGCTCTCTGAACAGCTTGCCACTGAGGAGGGAATCCAGGGGAGGCTGCAGCTCTGTGGTGTGATCAGGTAGACCAGGCAAGTTATTTTGACAGACAGTTAAATGACGTATTTTGGAAGGAAGAAGACAGAGCTTAGCTTAGCAAGAGGTAGCTGGGATGCAGTTCCCGGATGTCTTACGGATGGCATCCCTAATGCTGAAAACATTTTCTGCCTTTGCCCTGCAGGATTGCAGAGGTTCTGTCCAGCTGTGTGGTTGTCATGTAGTTTTCTCCAGTGAAAGAGAACTTTTCAGAGGTCTTAGGTGGAAAACATGTCCTGGGAGTTTTAAAAGCGGTGGCAGGGAAAGGCTGTTCTTTCCTTAATAAAAGACGCATTTGTTTTTATACATCTTTCGGGCACATGCGTGTTTTTGCTTTGGAATAAAGCATTACAAATCACTTGGTATACAATGAATGATCTACCAGTTTTCTTAAACCACATGAATTTCTGATCAGCTATATAAAGTATATATATAAAATGCCAGTTTCATATTTTTTGTACTTTGGTTGTTAAATCTGGCAAGGGCCTTTCACCCACGTCTCACTGAAGCCCTTTAGGACTGTGACTAGCCACTAGGGTGTTTTGAAACATTTTAATTGTTGAAGATTTCAAACTTGGACAAAGGTGAAAGGAAATACATCAACTCCCTATAGATCCACTGCCCTGATTCAGTAGCTGCTGGTATTTTTCTCTTTATTGAAATACTTTAAAGGAAATTTCATTTCTTTCTGCTCAACTACGTATAGTTTAAAACTTCCCGAACCCTTTTCAGATGGTCTCTGTGGTCACCCACTAGCCACTCTCCTAGAAATTCCTTGTTTCTCAGAACTATCTCTTTTCTGAGCGTTTCTCAAGTGAGAATCCGAAGTGTACACTCAAACTTAGTTGTCAAGCGTTAGAAACTTAAATCCTGACCAAAATAACTACATATGGGAAAGAAGTAATTTTGATTTCATGGTATCTTTCATGCTAATTTCTAGCATGAGTGTACAAGAGAAAGTGTCTTTAGGACTTTCTTGAACCCTTCCCCGCTTAACACAGATGCCATAATACTAAAAAGAATTGAATTTTTGAGGCACGGAGAGATGGTTCAGTGGCTAAGAGTATGCGTTGCTCTTACGGGGGACCTGAGCACCCATGTTGGACAGCTCACAACTACCCGTAACTCCAGCTCTAGGGGACCTGGCACATTCTGGTATTCATGAGGACCAGAGACGAGGCACCACACACCTTTCTCGTGTCTAGTGCTTTTCTGTCAATCTCACTTCCCACACCTGTGAACACCTAATTAGACAGCATTTGATTGTCCGCTTAACTTTTCCAGGAATGCAGGGGCATGAGGCTTGAGCAAGCTGTGTGCTTGCTACTCCTCCTTTGCTGACGTTTATTCTCATTCAGATTCTTCCTCTCCTCTCATTTCATCTCCTTAAGTGGCTGGATGAATGGGGAACGAGAAGGTGAAATATGGGGAACCATTAAAAGAACATGGGCGGAAATTGTTTTTCTTCTGTGTCCACCTGGGCTTAAAGCCAATGCTGCAGGCTTCTCGTTATGGGATGCCCCTCTTGCAAGGTGCTCATAAATCCTTGGTAACACACTGCCAAGATCCTCAACTCTGTTGTTATGGTGTGAATGCTTACTAACTCTGTGTAGCATTTTTATATGATCTCTGTCATGCCTTATCTCTTGTTAAATAAGGTTGTAGGTGATGATTACTTATGCATGTGCCAGGAGGTAGCACCATGACCATTTTATATGCATATATATGTATATGTATATATAATATATATGCATTATATATATTAGTTAAGTTAAAACAGAAAGATGAGCCAGAATGCGCTTTCCTCCAAGTGATCTGTAATTATATATATCATATATATTATATATATTAAATATATAATGTACAGTCAGCATCAGGAAGGCATTTGTCCTATTGGGGAAGTTTATGTGATTAATTGGCTGCTCAGGGAGCAGTAATAGATTGCAGGCTTTAGGTCTAAGTTCCTATTCTGTTTCCAATCATGGTCTCCCAATAGCCCGGATATACACTGAATTAGAAGAAAAATATTGATTCATTTGATGACCTAGATTGCTCCCAACCCAAAAGAGCCTGCCTCCTTTTCACACACGGTGGGACTCATGGCCATGCAATGGAATCACTTACACTTAGGGTGGGTCTTCCTACCCTGGTTAACCTAATTTAGTTTATTCCTTACACACACTCTCAGAGGTTTGTTTCCATGGTGGTTCTAAATCTTGTCAAGTTGACTATTAAAGCATACCTGGTATTGATCTTGTTTATAGAAAGCTGCTTTTACTTTCTCTGCTGTCCCTAGTTCTCTTCCCATCTAGGAAGATGTTGGGCTGTGGTATGATCAAGACAATGGCTCCAGCGGCCCGTGGGCTCCTTCCATTCCTTTCTGGGAGTGGGGAGTGTTTTTGATGCACCAGACTCTCGTTCTCATGAAGGAGCAGCACCTCCTCTCCAGCATGAGCAACATTCTGTCCAGTGGGATGTGAAGTTTGTCTGGGATCCCAGATGACCTGAGCATGGTGTTGAGAGTTGACTTTAAAGAGAAGGGATGGTTTCTTCCTGTTTTCTAAGTTTTAAATTTAAAAAGCAGGGGTACTTTTTTTTTTAAAAAACAACAACAACAACAACTTTTCAGAATCATATATTCTGTTCCTTCATGGTCTCTCAAATAGCAGTGTATTTTAAAATGCTATATAAAGATCTTTTTCTTTCTCGTGTGTGGGTGCGTGTGTGTGTGTTTGCCTGTGTGTGGCACACGTGTGTATGGGGCACATGAATTTGTATGCGTGTGCATATGGAGGCCCAAAGTTGCTACCGGATGCTTTCCTGGCCCATTCCTCACCTTACTCACGGAGGCAGGGTCTATCAGCTGAACCCCGAGCTTGACAGTATTGCTGGTCTAGCTAGCCCGATCATCACTCTGGGAAATCCTTATTTCAAGTGATGGAGTTACAGGTAGCAGCCACAACCACCTCACATCGTGTGGGATCTTAGGATGCAAACTCTGGCATCACACTTGTTTGGCAAGTGCTGTAACCACGGAGCTAGGCGTTCATTTAGCTAAATTTCATTAAACATTTAAAAAGTGAACATGGTGCTGTAAGGAGATGTGATCCTTATCGTAAAGTTGAGCATTGGAAAACAATTGCTTTCCTCCTATTAATCGTATCTGAACAAATCGAGAGTATTTTTATCTCCAATTGTAGATTCCAGAAACACTTCTAAACTTCTTGTGGCATTCCCCTGTCACTGTGTATTGTTTCACTACCTCAGATTTTGACCTGTCTTTAACCTTTCCCTTCAGTGATCTGCAGACAACCAGCAGAGGTCTCCAGACCTCACTTCAGGAAGCTCTGGTTTTACAGCCTCATATGCAGAATGGATACGCGCCAGGAGACATTGGTTACCCAAATTTATGAAGTGTTATGTTCCAGGTCCCAGAACTGCACTGTGGCCTGAGCATAGCTTTAAAAACAGTAAGGTCTCTGCTCCAGTAGGGACATGTTCTTAGGACCACTGTGACCCCAGCTACAGCATGCACTTTGCATCTTGATTGCCAGGTCCTTGAGATTTGCAGATTTGTCACAGCCCCCAGAATACTCTCTAGATATTCATTTACAGCGAGGTCACTCCTGGCCTCTGGTGCTGGAACCCTGCCCATTTATCACCCAGGAACCGCTCTCTGTACCAGGCTGTTTGAGTGGACTCTGAATTTTGTTTTCTCAGGTTTATGTATCTAATCTGTAGGGAATAGGGAATCTCTTCACACACACACACACACACACACACACACACACACACACACACACCATGCACACACATACACACCCACGCACGCACACACCATGCACACACACACCCCATACACATACACACATGCACACACACACACACACACACGCACGCACCCCCCCCCCCACACACCCTGTGAGTAGGCCTCACAAAGGTTTGCTGCTTTATTTTAGAGAATTTTTTGTTTGAGTCTTTGTCCCACTTGAACCTCTGGTCTCAAAGAGTCTTTGAAATAGAACCGTGTCACAAGGTCGTGTGCTTTTTACACTACTCTTAGTGACCCGTGGAAAGCACAGGGGTGTGGCTATCATGTGTGGGGCAAGTGCTCAATAGGCACCCGCAGTTGTCATTATTAGAGTGGAACGTGATCCACTGTTACCTCCGGAAGGCACTGCAGAGAAGATGTAGTTCTTTCCCACATTTCACAGAGTGCATGCTGGGCTCCGTCCTTTCTCATGTGGGTGCATAACCTGTTCTCTGCAGCGCTACATTAGGAAGGCCCAAACTTGGTGCAGTTAGTATCGACTAAATCATCACACTGTTTCATAAGGATTTTTATGTGGATAAATATTTTGAGCTAAATTGTAATTGTTGGTTTCAAACAATTTTAAGAATGACTTTTGAAGGTAATCAGCAAAGGCTTTTTTTTTTTTAAATATAAATGGGATGCTATAGAAAGCCTGGCAATTGATCAGTCTCAAAACAGAGGTTTCATAGAAAAATTTAATAGTTATTGATTTAGTAACTGTCTAGATGATGGATATGTTTCTAAGCATATAGAATCACTGTACATATGCCAAATGGGCAAATACTTAGCTGAAAAAAGAACGAAATTCTGTTGTTTGTGGCAACATGGCTGGAACTAAGATTATTATATAAAATGAGATAATCCACACGCAGACAGCTCTTAGGTGACCTTACCTATAAGGACCCCAGAAGAAGTGGCGAGTAGAATGGTAGCAGCCTGGTAAGATGGGAAAGATGGGAAAGGGTCG